AGGAAGACTACAACGGGGCCCACTACAAGTGTTCGTGAACGCTCATCTAGACAGTCTGGACTCCTTCGGACTACCGGACGGACTGAAACCATATCTTCTATGGTGGACTCGGAAGTCGAATGTTTGTGGAGGAACCTACTTATCAGAGCCGGATTGCAACACTCATCTCTACGTAGATGCATCACTTCAAGGATGGGGAGCCCAGCTCGACAACGAAGTGGCAGCAGGGAAATTGTCGAGTCAGGAGCAGAGTCTGCACATCAACATGCTCGAGATGAAAGCAGTAATAAACGCCTTACTACACTGGTCCAGCATACTAAGGAACGCACAACTGATGATCCATACGGACAACTCCACAGTGGCGTTCTACATCAACAAACAAGGATCAACAAGGTCAAGGAATCTTCTAGACCTCAGCTTTCATCTGTTCAGCATAATAGACAACCTGAACATCGACATAAAAGCATGCCACATTCCCGGAGCCAAGAATGTGATAGCAGACGCTCTATCTCGTCCAACACAACCATCCCCGATGGAATGGATGTTACATCCAGAAGCCTTCAAATGCATCATACAGAGGATAGGATCTCCGCTGATAGACCTGTTTGCTACAGTTCTACAAACAACTACCAACATTCGTCTCTCCGGTTACGGATCCACAAGCATGGGCAACAGATGCTCTAAGCATCTCCTGGGAAGGACTAAATGCTTACGCGTTTCCACCTCCAGCTCTAATACCGTAGGTGTTGCAGAAAATCAAGCAGACGAAGAAGCTGCAACTGATTTTGATTGTGCCCTACTGGCCAGCGAGGGTGTGGTTTCCCATCCTCATACAAGAACTCGGAAGTCCAACCCTGCAACTCCCAGAGTGGCCGAACCTACTAATTCATCCGCACACCAAGCAAGCACACAGGAATCCAACAGTATTCCAGCTACACGCATGGAACGTATCAAGACTTGCTTGAAGAAAAGAGGATATTCCGCCAGAGCAGCGAAAGCAGTCACACTAGCTCTACGTAGATCAACCCGCAATTTGTACGACGACAAGTGGCAGAGTTTTGAGAAATATGCATTGAGGAAGGGCTTCACAGCGATGAAAGCAACACATCCTCAAGTGGCGGAATACCTTTGTCATCTAAGACAAACGAAGCGGTTAAAAGATTCAACAATTTCTGCATACCTAGTGGCCCTCAGCACGGTTATCACCATGAAGACGGGTGTTAAGCTGACCAAAGTACCAGAGATACTGGCTCTACTACGCTCCTTTTAGTTGGAAGACCAACAAAATAATTTAAAGCGCGCCTGCTTGGGATCTCAACGTAGTCTTGCAGCATCTCACCAGTGACGCTTACGAACCACTAGAAAGGACATCCTATGAGTTTTTTAACACACAAAACTCTGTTCCTGATCACCTTGGCAACAGCAGCTCGGATGTCGGAAATACATGCTCTGGACTTTGAACGAACACGATTTGATGCACATCGCAACATCGTACATCTGGGATTGAGATGGGACTTCATAGCAAAGAAGACAGACAGTTCCACATCCCAGCACTCTCGACAGTCCTTGGGCCACAGGATACTCAGGACCCATCCTTATGCCCAGTCAGAGCATTGACAGTCTACCTACAAAGGTCTAAGATGAGGAGACGAAAATTCAAACGCCTTTTCATCCCTCTATCTACGGAGACGCCTACAGAGGTCTCACATACGACGATATCGATATGGATGACAGACGTCATCCTAAGAGCCTACAAAGCAGCAGGACTTGAGCCTCCACCCCTCATGAAGTCAGAGCGCTGGCATCGACACTCGCTCTGCATGCAAACTGCTCCATCTTGACAATAATGGAGGGCTGCTTTGGAAGTCGGAGACGATGTTTGCCAACCACTACCTCAGAGACATTGCTACCGAGGACGTCTCCGGCATTCACCAGTTTGGGCCTCTTGTTGTAGCACAACAATTGACGGTTCCTCAAAGGCCCTCAGATGAATCTCACCCTTTTATCACGTGACTTGTAAAAGCCAACGCTCTGAAGAGCTAGAGCTTTAGAGTCCATGCGCACATCTAGGACAGACCAGCATGAGTGATAGACCCTGTACTTGTAAAGGAGTTACTCGTACATTAAGAAGAGTCGCTTCTCCACTTGATGCAAGCATCAAGACATGGAGTTGCATAAATCCACACATAATGTCAGGAGAAGACGGTTCCAGAGAAATCTGACAAGTTGTGGTCCCCCCCCCAGACTCATCAGAGGAAGCTGGAAGAAAAAAGGATCAGCACAAGTGCCATCATAAGTTCCCACGGGGGGTATGCAGGACGTAAATCTACAAGCGATGAATCCAGAAGTGGCCTGACCCACCACCAGTTCCGTCGGATTCTACAAGCAAAAGAGCATGAGTCAGGATAAGGAAAAATATGTATTTTTTTATTAAAATTGATATTTTATACTTATCCTGACTCATGAGGTCAGCCCTCCCAACCTCCTCTCTGGACACTCTGGATTTCCCGGTAATCCGGGTGTCGGGCTCATATACGGAGAGAGTGACAAGTTTGGCTGGTCAGGTGACCAATAAGTGTGCCAAAGGGCAAAGGGAGGCTACTCGTGGGGTGAGTGATTTTACGTCCGCTTTTTATAAGGGAGCTTCAAAAGGGGATTCAAGTGTTCCACTATCATTCGCAAGAAGGAGACAAGCAAAAAGAGCATGAGTCAGGATAAGTATAAAATATCAATTTTAATCAAAAAATTACATAATTCTTATTCTACCTCTTTTCCATCAATGCCATAAATCCTGTACTTGTGTATACAATCACACCAAACCTTAACTGTACTTTTTGAACCAAAGGTAAACATTTGACCTCCATAAATTCTCTCAATTAAAAACATTCTTGATCTGCAACAAGTTTCTGCTGTCAGCTAAAAACACAAATATTTTTCACTTGAGCTGAACCAAAGTTAATCATATATTCACCCATAAATACTAGATTTTAAGCATGGCTGTCCAATCCCTATCTACAGCTGGATCGGTTTGTGGTGAGGTTGAGTACCCACTTTGTAGCATGAAGTCTAAAGCCTGCAATGGCTTATCCCTGTTATGTTTCTGGGTGTGTTGGCACCAGATATGGGTGGTAAACGTTCATGACCGGCATGATTTCAGGCTTTCCTCCAACACCCCACTGTAGGACTGTATACTGTGCAATGCAGCATTATATCCTTCACTCACATAAAGGTCTTTAGTAAAGTCTTTTTCTTCTACTTAGGCCTGTCCAGACCAAATAAAGATTCAGGTTTCCACAACAGATACAGATCCTTCCTCCATGCAGGTTTTAAAGAGTTATTTATGTGTCTTCTTTATACATATTTCTTTTCATCAGTAGAAAATTGGATGTAATGCACATATGTTGGATATATCATACATATAGTATGACCAGAAATTATTGAGAATTTTAGGAATATTTTTAATTTGATTTCTAGTATAAACAACCTTGACCAGCTATCAAGTGCTTGGTTTCATTCAAGTGAGACAACTCCGTTAATCCTTTTTCATTAGTTTGTGTAGAGTTATCCCACTTTAAAAATGTCATCTGCCAGCAAGTAAACAGTCATCCTCAGTATGGATGATTTAGAGAAGAGGAAATTGATTTTAGAGAATTATAACAGGGACATCAGATCAACTAAAGTGATTTCAAGTAGAACAGGCATCCCTTTGTCCACTGTTTAACGTGTTTTGAAAAATATTGCAAATGGATATGGCATTGAGCACCAGGGAGGCGCAGGTAGGCCCAGAAAATTGACTGTCGGTGACAGGAGGCGGCTTGGTATTCTTGTTTCTAAAAACAAACGAAGGAGTTTAGAAAACTTAAGGCTGGATATGATTGATAGAGGAACTGTGGCTGTCTGTAAGGAGACAATTAGAACTGAGCTGCATGCAATGGGTTGGCAGAAAAGTTGAGGAATTCCATCACCGATCATGAAACCTGAACAAAAGAAGCGAAGGTTGAACTGGTGCTTAGAGCATAGAAATTTTAACTGGGACAATGTGATTTTCTCAGATGAAAGTTCTGTGTGGCTGTTTCCTAATACACTGAAATTCTGGACCAAACAAACTGAAAAACCTTTGTATCAGTGACCAAAGTACAGTCCGAAATTTAACGTGTGGGGTGGCATATCTGTGTTAGGGGCAACGCCCCTCTGTGTATTTGAAGGGAATATGAACAGTGAACGGTACACCGATATTCTCGAGGGACATTTACTTCCATCTGCTCATGTGTTCTATGGAAATTTTTGGGTTTTCCAGCAGGACAATGCCCCAAAACATAGTTCAAAGCATTCACAGGCCTGGTTTCGGACCCAAAATATGAGATTATTAGATTGGCCAAGCTATAGCCCTGACCTAAATCCAATAGAAAATGTTTGGGGACTTATGAAGGAAAGTGTCAATAAGAAAAATCTGACAAATATTCCTGAAATGAAATAAGAGAAAGTCGTGGTCCATGCTGTCCCAATATCGGACCACCTAACTTCTTTGATCTGTAGTATGCCCTGCCGCATTGAAGCCTGCATTGGTGCCCATGGTGACTTGACAAAATACTAACTGTTCACCTGTCTTTGAATCTGGAGTTATGTTCTGCTAATATTCACATTTAATACGTGAGTAATGAGTGAAAAAATATTTTTTACAATCTTTAAATTCTCAATAATTTCTGGTTGTACTGTATATACATGAAGACAAGCTGTGCATCATATGGCTGATATGCATATTTATGTTAACAGTAGCACATAACATGTTCAAGGCAGTTGCTATGGTGATATGATAGAATATACAACTACACACAGCTGTTATGTTGAATGATGACATACATAACTTCACAAGTTGCTATGTTGAATGATGACATACATAACTTCACAAGTTGCTATGGTGATGATAGCATATATAACTGCACAGGCATGACAGAAACCCAGGATTGTGTTCAAATGGGTGTAAAACCCAACTCGCTGGCTCATGCAATGTACCAAGTTACCAGAAGTGTATTAGATAAACACTGTCAACTGCATTTGTGAATATTGCAACCTATAATCATACTCTGTGACCAATCTATTGACTGGTTCCACTGTAACACTGAACAGTTTAAGCACATCCTTGTATGTAAGATATTTCATATAGCTGAAGCACCTTCTTGTATGTTGGATTCAGTATATAGCTCAAGCACATCCTTGTATGTAAGATATTTTATATAGCTCAAGCACATCCTTGTATGTTTGATCCAGTATATAGCTCAAGCACATCCTTGTATACAAGATATAGTATATAGCTCAAGCATGTCCTTATATGTTATTTTACATCGCTGAAGCACGTCCTTGTATGTAAGATATAGTATATAGCTCAAGCACATCCTTGTATGTTGGATCCAGTATATAGCTCAAGCACATCCTTGTATGTTGGATCCAGTATATAGCTCAAGCACATCCTTGTATGTTGGATCCAGTATATAGCTCAAGCACATCCTTGTATGTAGGAACCAGTAGGTTTCACTTCTCCCGTGTGTCATCGAGTGGATTGTCCACCACAGACTCATGTATCATGATGAACAGTGGTACATATGTCAGGAAGTCCAAAAGGTCAAGGGCTACCAGGTGACTAAGTTTTTCCCTGACCTCACATTCATGTTGGTAGCTCACCCCACCAGCTCGAAGTTCAATCATCAGCTGTTCCAGTGAGATCTTGTTGGTATCTCCATCCACATTGCATTCCCAAAGTGTCTAAAAACAAGGAAATAGTTAAGAGTGTCAAACCATTTGTTACGTCAACCAGAGAAAGGTAACCTATGTGTACCTGAGGCAGTGGTCTTTAACTGATACATCCTGCATCTAACTTACCTTGCACTTGAACATCTTCATATCCAGCATCTTAAAGTCAACCTGACCAATAAGGTTCTTCATCCACTTACTGTAATTAGATCATGGCACATAACATATAGGAATGATCAATGCTTAAAAGTCATTATATATTCTTGGCTGAGGTCTTTCTGTTTCTTTCACCAAACCTTACTGCGTTAACTTCACCAAGTGTCAGAGTGTTACATACAAACCAAGAGAAGGATTGATGATTGACACATAAGTCTTACATTACTGACACTGATATTTAACAATAGATAAATCCCAGCTTGAACCGTGAAATGGAATCAGTTCTTCCGAACACATTCATGAAGAGCCAGGGAAGTACTTACTCCAGAGCAGCTATACGCTGAGACAGTGCTGCTAACAAAGAGAATAGCTTGAAGTCAGCTCCATTGGTGATGCTGTAACCAGTCATCTCGAGGATCTACAACAGTAAATGCTTAATTAACTTTGAAAGTAATGGAGGAACTTGAGATAAATCATCATGATCATGTGTATACCTGACAGTCTTAACATTCAATACCCCATCTACCGTACATTACAACTGGCAACCTGAAAATCATCAAGTCAAGACAAGACAATGCAGTTACAGTACAACCAGAAATTATTGAGAATTTAAAGATTGTAATTTTTAAAAAAAATTTCACTCATTACTCACGTATTAAATGTAAATATTAGCAGAACATAACTCCAGATTCAAAGACAGGTGAACAGTTAGTATTTTGTCAAGTCACCATGGGCAGCAATGCAGGCTTCAATGCGGCGGGGCATACTGCTGATCAAAGAAGTTAGAAAGTCGTGGTCCATGCTGTCCCAATATCGGACCACCTCGTCTTTCATTTCAGCAATATTTATCAGATTTTTCTTATTGACATTTTCCTTCATAAGTCCCCAAACATTTTCTATTGGATTTAGGTCAGGGCTATAGCTTGGCCAATCTAATAATCTCATATTTTGGGTCCGAAACCAGGCCTGTGAATGCTTTGAACGATGTTTTGGGGCATTGTCCTGCTGGAAAATCCAAAATTTCCGTAGAACACGTGAACAGATGGAAGTAAATGTCCCTCGAGAATATCTGTGTACCGTTCACTGTTCATATTCCCTTCAAATACACAGAGGGGCGTTGCCCCTAACACAGATATGCCACCCCACACGTTAAATTTCGGACTGTACTTTGGTCACTGATACAAAGGTTTTTCAGTTTGTTTGGTCCAGAATTTCAGTGTATTAGGAAACAGCCACACAGAACTTTCATCTGAGAAAATCACATTGTCCCAGTTAAAATTTCTATGCTCTAAGCACCAGTTCAACCTTCGCTCCTTTTGTTCAGGTTTCATGATCGGTGATGGAATTCCTCAACTTTTCTGCCAACCCATTGCATGCAGCTCAGTTCTAATTGTCTCCTTACAGACAGCCACAGTTCCTCTATCAATCATATCCAGCCTTAAGTTTTCTAAACTCCTTCGGTTGTTTATAGAAACAAGAATACCAAGCCGCCTCCTGTCACCGACAGTCAATTTTCTGGGCCTACCTGCGCCTCCCTGATGCTCAATGCCATATCCATTTGCAATATTTTTCAAAACACGATAAACAGTGGATGCCTGTTCTACTTGAAATCACTTTAGCTGATCTGATGTCCTTGTTAAAATACTCTAAAATCAACTTTTCCTCTTCTCTAAATCATGGGCGGTGGGATAGCCTAGTGGTTAAAGCGTTCGCTCGTCACGCCGAAGACCCGGGTTCGATTCCCCACGTGGGTACAATGTGTTAAGCCCATTTCTGGTGTCCCCCGCCATGATATTGTTGGAATATTGCTAAAAGCGGCGTAAAACTAAACTCACTCACTCTCTAAATCATAAATACTGAGGATGACTGAAATGTCGTCTGCTAGCAAGTAAACAAAGGGGGATAACTCTTCACAAACTAATGAGAAAGGATTAACAGAGTTGTCTCTCTTGAATGGAACTAAGCACTTGATAGCTGGTCACGTCTGTTTATACTAGAAACCCAATTAAACATATTCCTAAAATTCTCAATAATTTCTGGTCATACTATATTAATATCAAGAGCAAAGATCCATGCCAAATTTAGGATACAATACCTTGCACAGGAACAGACAATCAGATGATCCATTAAAGTCAATTTTATACCCATCTCATTTTCTTCCCACACACTGACCAGGATTCCCTTCCCCCTACCCCCCAAAAATATAAAAAATAATAACTTTACTGATAACAAACCAAGTTGCCTAACTAATAGCCCTTATGTTACCCTATATAAATATTCCTCTTCTGTTTCCGTCAGCCTGTTGTTGGTGCCTCTCAGTGCAATCATAGCTTCAGTCCCAGTCAGCCAGCCACGCTGTTCATCATCAACCTGCCAAGTGAGTGAATGTTGTTTAACACTGGAGTCACTTATGTTCCACTGGACCAGGCAGCTCAGAGACTCAATACAATCAATTTAACTGCAGAGACTGATCACCTGATCCAATTCAATAAATTATTTAGAAAAGCATGGGTTATGTTGGACAACTTCTCGCCAGGTCTGACAGAAACAGGCTGTGCATTGTTATCTCAAACTACAAACATAGGTTATTTGTCTAATACAAAATTATCAACTAAATTTGTTGTTAAATGTCCAGATTCTAGGACTTTTTGGGGGGGGGGGGTGGTGGTGTGTGTGTGTGTGTGTGTGTGTGTGTGTGTGTGTGTGTGTGTGTGTGTGTGTGTGTGTGTGTGTGTGTGTGTGTGAGTGAGAGAGTGCCATCCAGGATTCAAACCCTCTCTCTTAGAGTCAGGCACCTTATCTCCAGTAGACAAAGTCAGCCGCCTAACCCACTCAACCACCCCAGCTTCCACAAACATGGATGGCTGACAACTGGTAGTCAAGATCACTTCCTTTGTGTACCCCTCTGTGAAGTGTAAATTGTCAAGGCTCACTCAACCAAAAGCTGTCTGATTCCATACAGAGTAAATAAATGTTCTGTTGAATATATGTTTTCTTTTAAATGTTCAGGAAATATAAGCAATATAATCTAAAGTCACACTATTTTCTTCACATGGACCTGGAATGTGTGTTCATGAATATAATTTCAGCATCACTATTTGTAATTTTTTATTCCTGACAGTTAAAGCAGGACAACTGTTTCATCCAATCTGAGAATGTAGTCCTTTGTTTCCAATTGTTTGCATGATGATAAGTGTGTGATACTGGTATCAGACTATGTTCACATACTGCCTGAAATGCATGCTTGTACATCTCCAGGTTGGTCCGGCTCAAAATGCAATACTTGGCTAGAAACCCATCTGCATATAAAGACAAAAATCTTCAATGTCTTTCAGTGGCATTTAGAAGTTGTACACAGATGTCCAAGATCTTTTATGGATTAAACTTCTTCTTTTTCATTTCCCTCACGATGTTTCAGGACCTGGAATTTACCTGATGAAGGGACCTGGAATGGTCCCGAAACGTCGTGAGGGAAATAAAATAAAAGAAGTTAAATCCATAAAAATGTCTTAGACAAAAATCAAGTTAGTTCATTCTGTTTAAAAAATCATTAAAATCAGTTCTTTCTACCACTTAATAAAGATCTGAGGATATCCTATTCCAGGTCATCAGTCACACATATCAATCCTGTTTCGTGACCAACCAATGAAATGACTAACAAGAAATGGACATTAGCCAATCAGAAAGCAGCTCACTCATAACACTAGTTTCAAACTGTCAACTTCCATCTAAGACTACACTAAAATTTTGACAAAGTTCTCAATTCAAAATTTGAAAACTGAACAAAATGGATTTCTGGAAAGTCAGTTAGATGGCTGAAATTACGTGGCAGTACTTTCCATGGGCTATGGAGAGTCTCTACTGTTTCAAATATTTATCTCACTGAAGTAAGAGACAGACATTGATCTAGACAGACTCTGTCAAATGGACAGTAGCTATCATTGAGAATATCCTGTGTTAACATTTTTGAGGTTGTATTGTTAGAAAACACAATGTAATTGTCCTGCTCGGGTAAGTGATGTTTGGATTCCTCAGGTGAAAGGTCATGACCGGTTAGGGAATGTCCTCAGATCTTTTTTCGTGGAAGCAGGAACGAAGATGTGATTATGTTTACTTATGTTAACATATCATTACATGTGTCACTGATGTTTATATTATCATACACAGAACACTTTTTTCTTATCTCATTTCTGAGCATTCCCAAATTATATCTCAGATCCTTTACTCATGACCTTTTCCAAGCTGCTGTCATATTTGACATCTAAAATAGCTCTAGTTTCTTCAGAAAAAGGTTCTGTTACTCTACGTGTAGCCATGAAATTAAATCACCCTTTCAACTTACAGTCTTCAAAGTTTGGTATCCCAGTGATACCATCTTCTTCCATTTTCTGTCCAAATTTCTTCTTCCTCTTTCGCTCTAGCATTTCTGCCTGCCGCTTCCGCCTTGCTTCTGCCAGCTCCTGTTTTCGAAGCTCATCTTCATACGATGTGTCACGTTTCTTAGGTCCCCACCTTTTTTTGTTTTCAATGGGTTGTCTGAACGCCTGCAGTTTGCGCTGGACTCGGCTAATGGTGGTCTGACTATGTGTTGATGGAAGATATGGGATGACTGCAGGCAGCACGGTCTCCTCCAGCTTCACCTGGACATTCTCTGTGTCAAAACATCAATATTTAAGGAGGTTTGTCCTCTATTCATGTAATCAGTAAGGTGTCCTCCCAAAAGTTAGATGTCCCAAAAGTTAGACGCGTTAAAACAACATATGTTATGGTTGCTTGTACTGAGGTTCACTACACTGTTTCCTTCGTCAATTAATGGACTAGTCCAAATGTACTAATACAAACACAAAGAGATTATGGACTTTATTTTATATTGTTTATGTTGGAAACTGTCAGTGTCAAGGATTTCTGTATGACCATTCCTTCAAAAACCTTATTTCTATTACATCATAGCCATAACATCTTAATTTTGGCTGGCAAATGCTAGGGTTTTAAAGCCTGCACTATACCTCCCCTAATCTTTCCTGCGGCTATGTTCCCGTGGGAAGACCCAAGTTGGCAGCTTCAAGCTTTGGCAAATGGCCTTTACTGGTCAAGTGTATGTATTAGGGAAATCAGACACCATCCCAAAGATATATTAACCAGTCTTATCACTGCCCAAAAGAATATATTGGACATGCGTATGATAATCAATGTTGCAAGCTAAGGTTCCAGCGGTAATGTCCTCTCAATCGGCATATCAGAAATACCATGGATATTCACTAAGATCATTGGCTTTGCTCATCTATATCTTGTCAGACCTCCTGTAAGCAGATCAGGACATTGTTCAACTATAACAGATTTCCCATCTTAGGTTCCTGGTTCACCCATAACAGCATTGGACAGACACAGGATACATTGTGGCCAGATTTCTCAGGTATATCTTAGGACAGCCAGAGCACAGATACCTAAAAGCAAAGGACATGACATCAAGCCCAACAGATATCACCACTGGTGGATGTCAAGCCTGGCCATGCTTAGGCCGAAAAAAAAATAACTTGTGGTTCCGATTACCCGACTGGCCCTTGAATTCTGGTACCGACCGTAGTTTTTATACGAGATATGAATGAAATAAGCTTTCAGATACCATTATTTTTGCTGGCACCAACGGACATTGGTCATTCTGATAGAGAAACATGATGGCCGCAAGCTTGATTGAATAAACAATTACACATTGATAAATGTGTTATTAGTTCGTACTTTACTACTAAAAAAAACAATGTAAAAAAAATTCCTTCCTACCTACCTACCCTAAATTTTAAATAGGTGTAATTGGAACCACAACATTTTTTTTATTTGGCCTTACATCCTTTTAAGATCTAACCCACAGATGGTGTATTCAGCAATGCCCTCTACTCTACAAACTCTACCAGGTCTCTTGACCCACCAAACAACTCATGTGGGCAATATCAGGACACAATCAGAACATTGTGCAAACGAAACAGACACCAAATGTGATTGGAAATACTTCCTGTTGAGAAACACCAATAGGATGAAGTAGTACTAGAGAGGGGGGTTTGCCGCACATGCGGCTTAAAGGTTTATTTTTATGAAATAAGTTCCCCAGCCTCCCTTAAAAACGGCGATGGTCATTCGAGAGGCATCCTTCGGTGTGCCACCAGCCTAGACCCAAAGTTCTAAATATTGACTGATTGGGAGTCCGGTGGTGTGAAGGTAGGCGTAGGACTCATAATCCAACGACGCGAGTTCGAGATGGGGTATGGGTGGAAACTTTTGCAAGTGAAACAAGCACCGCCGTTGCTAAGCCAAACCAAGATGGTGGTCCAGCCTAGTAACGGCGGCCCTGGCAGATCCGTCGTTACTAAGTTAAACAAGATGGTGGTCGAGCCTAGTAATGGCGGCCTGGCAGATCCGTCGTTGCTAAGCCCAACCAAGATGGCGGCCGAGCTTAGCAACGCCGTTTAGACCTGACGTCAGAGTATTTCTCTGGCTGTGGCCTGTCACGCGGGTATTGAATACAAAAGCAAGGCACACAGCCGTATTAGGGTTGCTGGCTGGTTGTAGTGAAAAGGATGTTTGAAACCAGTCGTTGAAAACATTTTTAGAAGCCACAATCAATTATTTTAAAATCGGGTTACATAAGCTTGGAAAATGTATGAGTTACATTGCTAAAATCTACAAAAAACAGTTTGCTTGATGTGCATTGATATAAACAGTAGCTGTTGCCTAGCTGCTCTCGCCTGACTGCCTACGGTTGGGTTGACCTAATGTGGGTTTCTTGAAAAGTAGTAGTATGATGAGGGTTTATTATTTTTTACTAGGTTATGTTTACATCAACAAAACAGTTTAAGGTGAATCTTTGATGAGATCTTTGTTCTTGGTCAGGAAGGTTTGAATGATTTGTTGTCGACCCTGTTCTATGAGCTTCTTTTTCTCGTCTTCGCCGATGTCAGCGGTTTTTCGAGTCTTGGTTCGAATCTCTTCTTTCATGAGGTGGTATTTCGCGATTTCCTTGGAGATTTTGCTATCGGTGATCGCGGTGGAAATATGATCGTTGATCGTGTTTAACTTGGCTTCGGCCAGAACCCTGATCTTGTCATGCTTCAGCGCTTTCCGTTGCAGATGACATGAAATGAATTTAAGGGCTACTCCCGCCAGCCCCAATACCCCGGCGGTTATTTCTAACCCGAGGACGACAGGTGTGGCCACGATGGTGTATAATAAGCCAACAACTGCTACGCCTAATCCCGTGCTAACTGCCACGAGAGATGTGTCCACACCGTCGATGGTATTTTTTGTGCAATCCGAGTCGCACGTCACGTTCTCGTTCCAGTTGGTGTTTAATTTCGCTGATCTGTCGCAAACGAAATCCATCCACGGTTTCGAGCGTTTGAGCCACGTCGTCCATGGCCGGATACAATCCCATCTCGAGTATATCCTTTTATATAGTACTAAGACCCCGTCAGTGATAGTATATGCCTTGATGGCAGTTTTTAGCGTTACAAGCCCCTGTGAAGCTGATGAGGTACACTTGATCGTATGCAAAAGCATGTTATAGTAAAATGTCATCTCCAATAAAAACCTCAACTCCCTCGAGGCTTGCGGTGGAAGCTGTTCCGAGTTGTACATAAATACGACAGTGTTGATTTTTATGGCGATCGTGCCAGCGTATGTCTATCCCAGCCAGAAGTCCCACCCGTTGTCCGGAGACATTTCCAAGAACGACGTCGATAATAAGGGTAGAACCTGGTATCACAGTGATCCATGAGTCTGGGACTTCACTATATCGTTTTAAATAGAGCCATTTCGCTGTGTCTTCCGAGTGAGGGACTAGCATATAACCCGTTTGATCTGGTAATGGTGATGCGTACATTCCCTTTTTATGAAACGGAATAAAACTCCCCAGTAGAATGAGGGCTGATGAGATGGATTTTTGAATGTAGAAAGATCCTTGGAGCGCGATTGTATTCTCCAAGTTAATCATGATTTCTTCGAGACTCGCGTAAGCGTTGACGTTTTTCTGTATGTAAATCGAGCACACGTGATTTTGATGTTTTCGAGGCCAACAGAGGTTTACTCCCGTTATAATTTCAACATCTCGGTCGGGTGATGCCTCCCCGAGAAAGACTTTGATATAAAGCGTTGAATTGGTTGGAATCCTTTCTAGGACATTGGACACCTCTTCGGATTCCGGCACCAACTGTAAACTCGTATTTTGGTTATCCAGTCGACTCGCTAGCAAATGACCCGCTTTATTCGGGATGAGGCTCACGAGCACACTCCTTTGTTGCGAGAGGACGTAAGACACGATGAGAATCCACTTTTTAAGGACTTTCAATAAATAATGATCCTTCGACTCCGCAAACACGTAAGGAGAAACGAGGGTGATATTGAGTAGCCAGTCTATTTGGGAGGAGATCAACGTCCACTGGTTATCATCGGTTAGGACGAACTGGTACAACGTGTTTTTAAGAGACCTCGGGTCTCAACATTGTCTAATTCGCCTAGATTGCCATCGAATGCCGGGACCATCATCCATTTGTTTTTGTCGATGAGGACGAGATTGTACTGGGTGTTTTTTAAGAGACCCCTGGTGACGACATCGTCTAAATCTCCTAGGTTACCACCACCACTACGAACTTGCGCTCGCCTGTAAGTGTTGTTTTTTAATTCTAAACTGTATATTTTGCCTTCGACCCTGGGGTTGTCGAAGCCGCGCGTGTCCCCGAGGTCGGAGATTGCTGCAGTAGGACATTTTCTAATTCGTATGACCGTTCCTGGACCCGAAGCTTGAGTCATCGTTGCTTGATGTATAGCCGATATGTATGGGTTTATGTTTTATATCTAAAACGGACAGTTCGCCTTAAATGTTGTCCGTCGTGCTTACCCGATGGAGATGAACGAACACCTCGTGATAGACCACGAGGCTCAGTAATTTTCGAACCCGTGACGGTGTCTCGGGGTTGTACGTTGTTCGATGGAAACCCGAGCATTCTTGCCAAGGGCCTACCGAATCGGATGGGTTTTCCCCATTCGTGAACGTCAGCGTGCCATTCGACTCGTTAAGTTTGAGGCTGGTTCCCATGGGTTTGAAAATTTCGTTGTGAGCATGCACAAGCTGTAATAACCGTCGGACAACTCGTGGCGATTGCCATCGATGAATAGCTTGTTGTTCCCTTGATATCGGTCGCGTGCAGCAGTAAAACGGGCTTGCCGTTCGTGATTCCCGAGAGCGTGATGTACATGTTACACATATACGGGACACTGCGGTATACTTTCAATATGGCTACACCCAAGTACCAGTCGGGAGTGATTTATCCTAAAAGCGATAATTTAAGTGTTACCGATCACACACACATGAAAATCGTGGTGGTTGTGAAGGAGGGTTCCCACTTTCGAGCTCAATTTATCGATGTATTTGAAAAGTATAGGCTTTCGGTCATGAACGTCAAGGCAGTCCACACCTGGTTTCACAACCCGATACAATTCTGGCAGAATCAATTCAATTCCTCCGTGTGGTGCGCGACGACGGGGTGCGGCGTGAACTTGAACGACACGCGTCGCGATCCGTGTTCTATTTTCCCGTGTACTACCAGATCAGATGCATCCTGAAAGCGCCCCGATTCGCAGGACAAGACGTGTGATGCATCGAAC